AATGTATAATTTGTATAAATAAATTCCAATTTGTAAAATTTTATTTTAATAAATCTGTTTTATTTATCCATGAGTTATGTGTTTCATCAAAACCTAACCATTTTACAAAAATTTGGTCTTTTTTTCTTTTTATTACTTTTTCAACTAGGAATGCACTTTTGTCTTTAACTTTTTGAATTTCAGCTTCATAAAATGTACCTTTTATAGGGTCACCCTTATAATCAATGAGCTCGTAAGTAACTGGGAATGTAGTCTTAATTTTTGAAATTGTAAATATTTCAGTTGTCCAGTTAGGTTCATATCCTTTAACAAATACACCCTTGTATTTGCTTATTCTAACATGGTCTCCTACTACATATTTATGCCTTGGAAATACCTTAACAATGTTATAACATGTTTTCAAAATAAACTCTTCATTCTGTTTACAAACATCGATTGGACTCATTTTTATAGTTCTGTGGTAAGAATGGTTGTAGTCTTCTACAAGCGAATTCAAATGGGTAATCCATCGATAATTTCCATTAAAACTAAACATTTTCCACATCCTATTTTTTAAAGTTCTGTTAAATCGTTCACAAATCGAAGCCTTAAGGTGTGTAAATGTATGATAATGATTTATATTATTTTTCTTCATAAGTTCTTTAAAGAGTTGATTAAAAAATTCTTTTCCTTGATCGGAATGTATATTTTTTGGCTTGTATTTGGAATCTTTCAATATAGATTTCATAACAGTTGCAACATCCATTGCCGATTTTGATTTTACAGGCTTAGCAAAAGCATATTTTGAAAATGTATCAATAACCGTTAGTAAATATTTATATCTATTATTCTGATTGGAATATGGGATCATTTCAACCAAATCAATTTGCCAAGTATCATGCAACCCTTTTTGAACGAACTTTCGACGTAAAAAATTTTTTCTACAAGTTTTATGTATTTCATCAACAACTTGTTGCTTACTCATTTTTATTTTTTTTTTAAACATTTTTTAAAAAAAAAAACTTATTTTTTATTGTTAATGTCTGAGGTCTTAGAGATTAATGATTTCTTATAATGAATTACATCTTCTTTTATTTCTTTTGTCATTTTTTTAGATATTTCAAACATAAACGTGTTAAATCTATTTGAACATTTTTATCATAGTTACTATCTAAATCGGATAATTGAATATCGAATTTTTGTAAAGAGACACACTTCGGAATGATATGATTATAGTACAGATAGGATATTTGCTGTTTTAATATAGTGTTCCAACATAAAAATGTAGTTACAAATATAGCTAGGCGAATTAATGATCTCCAAGTGTCACTATCTATTTCAATTTTATTACCGAATTGATTTAGTATCAGAACATATTGTTTATCTGATTTTCTAAATCTAAAATTACATTTAATAGTTGATAAAATAGGGTGATCCAAAATTGTATCAGACATTAGGAAGTCATACTGATCAATCTTTAATTGTATAAATTCCTTGTATGTAAGCAGTTGCATCCATTCTTCTTTATCTTGGTACAGATTCTAGTTTTGGTCAGTTCATCTAACCTACCAAATTTCATTAGGATCGGCTAACTATATCCGATGTTTGCGATATATATCCGGTTTTAACTGCAAGGGTATATCAACTTCGGCTCCGACCGAAGTTAGCTTTCCTTTCTTGTTTTTTTTTTTATTTATTTGTTTTGTTGTAAACCTTCCTGAAACAATGTCTGAGGAATGGGAAGTCGGTATAACTGACATATATTTAAATAATTCTTTTCTAAAGAATCCTAAAAAAAGGAGAGAAACAAAAGAAAATGAATCAGAAGAATCAAGCTCTAATTCAACAGAATTTATAAGTTTAGTAAATTCTGAAACATTTCGATACAAATCGGCACCAATGAAAGCGGATGAAATGGAATGCGGTGCGATATTTATTTACACAGACATTAAAAAAAAGCCTCGTTGTGTAGGAAGCAAAAGACCACGTTGCTTAAGAGTTTTATTTACAAATGGAAAAGAAAAATTTATGCAGTTTAGAAATGTTGAATATTATCCTATTGAAAATTTTTCACCAAACGAAATTTCAATATTAATTACTGATTCAAGTGGATATAAAATCCCCTTTGAAACTTCATCAGTTCCAATTTTTCTAACTCTGCATTTTAGAAAAAGAAGAAAAAATCTATAAATAATAATGTTAAGGGAAACTAACATTTAGAATTGATTTACCAATCATGGCGAAATGTTATCATCAATATTATTTAAATCAGTGCGGTGGAAGCTTAAGTAACATAGGTAGTCTCTATGTTTCCCCAAGAATTGTTCAGCATGGTCGTGGTATTGGAAATTTCTTTAGTGGACTTTTTAATTACATTAAGCCGCTTTTTGTGTCAGGGATAAATGCACTTAAAAATCAAGCTGCTGAAACCGGAAAGGCTGTTATAAATGATTTGGGTCAAAAACCTCTACGAAATATCATTCAAGAACAAAGTAAAATCGCATTACATAATCTATCTGACAAAGCAATTCATAAAATTACTAAATTACAAAGTGGTAAAGGAAAAAAGGCATAAAAAGAGGAGACCAAGAAAAAATCGCAATCATTTAACTTTAAACAACGTCGTAAACATACGCGTTCAAAAAAGTCAAGAAAAAAATCATCTAAAAAATTTAAAATTAGTGACATATTTTCCAAATCAAAATGAGTAATCACATTGAATGCATGAAAAGCGAACTGGATCTTTTTGAGCCTCATCCAACGCAAAGCTGTATTTTGAAAACCGAAGAAGTTTCATACAACCCTATTGCTTCTTTGGATAGTGCTCCATCAATTGAATTCGTTTGTTTAGGAAATGGAGAAACCTACAGAGATCTTTCAAGTGTTTACTTAAAACTTGTGGTTCAACTTAAAAAAAATGATAATAGTAGTATTGAAGGAAATGCTGTTGGTGTAGAAAATAATATATTGCATTCTATATTTAGAAGCTCATCGGTATATTTAAATAATACTTTGGTTTCCCAAAGCGACAATAATTACACAGTGCGACAAAAAAAGAAAAGTTGGAGGAACTTTTGAAGAGACCTAGTAGGAATTGTTCATTAGGTCGAGTATAGTATAAAACCATGTTTGAAATTTTTCCTACACCCTCAAATCTTGATTTATTTCGAAAAAACGGTTTTTCGAAAGTGTTTTGCTCTTAAAAATTCCTGAACGCGCAATTTTAGGCCGATTTTCAATTTTTTTATGTTTTTCAATAGTTAAATGTTGTAGCTTTTGAAAAAAAATACATCTTCAATTTATTTAAACAGAAAGGATACAAAGAGATTAGTTCTTCAAAATGGCCCATTATTTAATGTATAATTTAGCCGTTATCAGTCTATTTATTTTGCGAATAATCAAATATTGTCTCGAAGAAGGTAAATATGGTCTAACTTATCCGTTGACTTTTTAGCCTGACGTAAATTGTCTTTCGATAAGGGAGATATTTGAATTAGGCGGGCTATTAGACTAAGCTCTTGTTATCGTTATCGCTAAAATTTTAATAAATTTAGGAAAACTTGTTTAATAAAAATAAGTCAATTTAGCTTATGTTGTTTTGTGTCATGTGGAGTTGCCTTAAACGGCTCCCCACACGCGTAGGTCCGAAGAAAGGGGTACTTCAAAGGCCTTGGCTGTGGCTAACGGAACGTTTTATTCTATAAATTCATACATTAGTTTACAATTCAAATATTAATCCTTCTTCTTACCGCAGTGTGCCCTCCTACAATCAACAAAACAATGAATGGCACTTTTTGGCGGCATTCACACTACCGCTATTAGTAGGCCCGTAATTCCGATAACTTAAAATCCTACATTTCCTAATAATACTGACTTAACTATCGATAACAATGTTTTGACCGTCGACATCCCCGACCCCGTGAAGACCCGCTTCACTCAAATCAAAACTCCAAGTTTAGAGACGGGCCGCAACATTGTCCAAGATAGTCCATTAGCTCCTCCATCCATCTCCATCAGCTCCGCTGTAGACCTCCTCCACGATGCCCTTGCGCCACTCTCGTCTGGGCAAGGCAGGATCGCAGACGAAGACCATATCTCCCTGGCGGATGGGCTCCGTTCCCTGGCACCACTTCTCGCGGCGCACAAGCGTAGGCAGGTACTCCATGGTGGGACTCCACATGGTTCCTCGGCGCGACTTCTTCCAGGGTATGGCGCAGCACTCGCTTGACGCAATGCACCATCTGCTCCCATACTCCGCCTCTGTATCCTCTCACTCTCGAACGCGTCTCCAAATCGTCTGGCCTCCTTGTCGGCTCCCACGAAGTTCTTGCTCACCTCGTACACATTCGGGTCTCGATCGTCGTTACCATCTCTCCAAAGGAATCGTTAGGAACATCGATCTCCAACCTTGGCTGCAGCATTCAAAACAAGCCGGACCTCACCGGGCTTGTTCGGGGTTTCGACACCGAATTGTGGCAAATCCCATAGCTTGTCGCTCTTCACCGCGACCTCATCCGGCTGCAATTGCCGCGCATATTCTTTGGACACGTCCTTGATGATCCGATCGTATCCTAGCGCCAACGGCCCGTTGCGCTTCAACTTCTCGACGTTGATCAGCCGTCTGTGTGCCATCTCGTAGCTCTGTGGCAGCACAGCGTGGTCATCCTTCCAGAGCAATCCCGTCTGGTCGCGACGCCCCACTTTCACCGTGGTGTCGTCGAGGATCCTTTGGGCCCGCGCGTCGTCGCTGGCTGCGACCGGTTGCGCGAGCTTCACACCAAAGCCTTCCATCTCGACGTAGTCCTCCACCATCTTTTCCATCGTGTCCTCCACTGACACGGCTAGAAGGCAGGACCTCGGTGACGGCGTAGTTGATTGTCCACTTACTGGCCCAAACACAACCCATCCAAGCTCGGTTGCGGCCGCGAACGGTCCCTCTCTGGCAAACCGTCTCGTCCTAAGTGGCAATCTCAAATGTCCATGGTCCAGTCCGATGAGCAACTTCGGCACCACGTTGCTGTAGGGCTTCATCGGCAGTCGCGAATCCTTATGAACGCCCTGGACATCTCGTCGACATAACGTCTGCATCGGCAGACTCAGGCTCGAAACGGCGTACACGTTCCTCAACGGGTGACGAGTGGGCTTCCAGCTCCACTGATCTCCAGACTCACCACGTTGGTAGGCTCCCTGCTGGCTCTTCCTCCAAACCATTGGATGTTCAGTTGTCGACGTTCGCCTTGCACTCCCAGATCCCTCCGTAGCTCGTCGTCGATCATCGTGACGGAGGATCCTTCATCTAATAGCGCGTATGTGTCCACCTGGCGACCAGCTCCGTACAGCGTTACTGGCAGTCTGTAATCTCCAAAATACTCGAGAGAGTATTTTTGCGCAGATTGCAGACAGTACTGGACGAGGCTGGTTTGATCCCAGATCACCAGTTTGGTTTCAGGCGCTCTCACTCCACCCCCGAGCAATGCCACAGGATCGTGGCAAAAATCCTGGACAGCCTCGAAAGAAAACATTACTGCTGTGCTGTTTTCCTGGATGTCAAGCAGGCGTTTGACAGGGTCTGGCACCCTGGTCTAAAAGCGAAGCTCAAGAGGAACCTGCCACAAAAGTATTACGATTTCCTTAACTCGTACTTGACCGACAGGAAGTTCAGGGTCAGAAGCGGAAATGCGACATCGGAGTACAGGCCCATTGAAGCTGGTGTTCCGCAGGGCAGTGTACTTGGTCCCATCCTGTACACCATGTACACAGCCGACATGCCTGTCGCTGAAGAGGAGGGCCTTCTAGTGGCTACATATGCCGACGACACGGCATTTTTGGCCTCTTCAATCTTGCCAGAGGAGGCTTCTGCACGACTCCAACGCCAGCTGGACATCCTTGACCCGTGGCTTCGACGGTGGAACATCGCCGTCAACCATGAGAAGTCAGGCCAAACGACGTTTACAATGAAGAGAGGCGACTGTCCTGGAGTCAGTCTCGGAGGCACCCCAATTCCAGCCAGCCCTACACCCAAATATCTGGGTATGACCCTGGATAGAAGGCTCACCTGGAGAACCCACCTGCAGCGCAAACGGACGCAAATCCGGATCAAGCTGCGTCAGCTCAACTGGCTCATTGGAAGGAGGTCCAGGCTGAAGCTAAGAATCAAGCTCCTTATATATAAGGCCATTGTAAAGCCAATCTGGACATATGGTATCCAGCTATGGGGGACGGCGTGTCAAAGCAACCGAAGGATCATTCAGATCGCCCAAAACAAGGCCCTAAGAACTTTAACTGGAGCTCATCCGTTCCACGACAATGCGACAATCCACGCCCAACTGAGAGTCCCATATGTGAGCGAAGAAGTTCAGAGATTCGCCAATAGGTACGTGGTAAGGCTGGACCGACATCCTAACCCTGAGGCCATCAATCTTCTGGACAACAGCTACACCACAAGGAGGCTGAAACGGACCCACCCACTGGACCTCTGCCACTCGGGCGAACGGGACTGAGCTGCAGTTGAAAAACTAACAAGGCCCACTAAAGGGCCCGACAATAATTAACTTGAATTCTATCGCTAAGGTCTACTGTTAAAATTAGTTTCCTAGGATAAGCAAACATTGTACTACTCAATATTTCATTAAGTTAAGGTCCCATTATACAATTTAATTATTGTCCATAACTTCGGACAGATTTTAAATATAACTATTGATTGATTGATAAAAAAAAAAAAAAAAAAAAAACTGGCAGTATACGGAACAAAAGTCTGCCTCCTTCGACGTCAATACTTAAGTTTCTCTGCATGGGCGCCTCCGCTGGCTGCGGGGCCCTTCTTTCCAGGCTGTTTCTGCGGACAGCCGACTCCTGGGTCCTCTCGTGGTCCCTGTAACCACCTCGTGGCGAAGACCTCCTGTCCGGGCTGCGTCTGGAAACTGGTGACATCTGGTTCCCTCCGTTGTGGCGCCTGAAACCACCTCGCTGCTCCGGCCGTCTTCGCCCTTCGTCCTCTTCATGTAGCAGACGGTGATGCAATCTGCGGCATCCGTTGATCTGGCACTCGCCATGCACATCGCAGGATCTGGCCGCATGCCCACTCCGTAAGCATGTGAAGCAGAGCCGATGCCTCTTCACCATGCTCCATCTGCCCGGTGGCGAAGCTCCAATAAATTCGCTGCAGCTCGTCGTAGCATGTTGACCTCCACAAATTGGACAACCTCCATGCCGGTCATCCCGCTGCTCGTATCCGTTCTGGTCGACGCTCGCGTGTAGAACTCGACGCCTCGGCTCCTTTCCATCGACGTCCAAAATCGTACACACCATGTTTGCGTACTCCTGTAGCCACGCGCTGAAGTGCGCTACAGTGGGAAAGGGTTGGATCGATGCAGCGTGCCTGGCCCAATCCACTCGTTTGCTGGTGGGAAGCTTTGCCACAAGCTCCTCCATGAGTGTGGGGTTTCCCAGATGTTGCTCCGCCTTCGCCGACTGCAAGAAGGCCGTGAGGTTACTCACTCTGGTTGCGAAGGGGACGATCCTCTCCAGTTGCTGCTCCGAAATCGGCTGCACCTCTCGCACGCTGTTCAGCTGGCTGCGTATTAGCTGCTCCGGTCGGCCAAACCTAAAGCGCAGCTGCTCCATCACGGCTCTGACATTCGCGGGGTGAATTAGCAGCGACTTCACAGTCTCGCGCGCCTCATCCTTCAGCGCCTTCAACAGCCTCTGGTTGTTTTCCAGGTCTGTGCAGTTGTACGCTTGGGTCGTCTCCACAAACGCACAATTAAAAATGGGCCAATCCTCGGGCTGCCCTCCAAATATAGGCAAGTCCGGGAGCCTCCTTGGTCCAATAGCTTGGGTTCCATTCGGCGTCATCCAGGCGTAGGATCCAACAAATGGTGATGCAGTTGCTACGTTGTGGATGCTCCCGCCCGGTAGCGCGAATCCATGCGCTGTTTTGCGCAGCACTTGTAGCACACAGTGGGTTGCTACTCGTTAGCAACGGTGGTCCACTCCAAGAAGGCGGCAGCGTGTAGGTCCCACTGGTCGCACCGAAACTGCTATATGGGTCCGGCCCGACCCCGTTAGTTGGTGCCTCACCGTTCGATGTGGCGGTTAATGGCGGTCCGCTCCACGATGGCGGCCGCTCCGACGCTCCACTGTTGGCGCCATTTGCGCTTGGGCCAACTGCGATTGGCGCGCAATTGGCGGTGCTTGCTGCGTCCATGGCTTTGACCTTCTTCAGCTCGTTCTCCAACGCCGTAATCCTCTCCAATAGGTACGCCGTGAGTGGCTGGCTCACCTCCGGCTCTGAACTCGCAGCTGCTGTTACAGTGCTCCTTGGTTGGGACGCTACTGTAGTCGCTGTAGTGGCTGGGCGAGAAATGGCCGCCGCCGTGGTTATGTTACCCGCGGCGGATTTTCTGCTGCACTACTCGCTGGCTGCTGATCCGCTCGCGTTGTAGGGGTGGCTTCCCCTCCGTTCAGCCGGGAACTCCACCTGGGGGAGTGCTGCATCTCCAAGTGTTCAAATATGGCGCTGCCCTAGCGCTCCAAAATGGCGCTGCCCTAGCGCTCCAAAGATGGCGGACCTGTGCCGTCTGGCTGCTGCCGCTGATGCTTGGCGCTCCTTGCGCCTCCTGCCCGCTGGTGCTTGGCGCTCCTTGCGCTTCCTATCCTGACGCTGGCTGCGTCTCCTAAACTGACGCCGGCTGCGTCTCCAGAACTGACGCTGGCTGCGTCTCCGTGTCGCTGGCTGCGACTCCGTCCGTACTCAGTGGTTTGGCGCTGGCTGCGCCGTCTATGTCGCTGGCTGCGACTCCTCTGCTGGTACGGGAACTGCGCTCCGTGCGCTCCTGGCAACTCTCTAGCTGGTCGTCGAGCCGTCCTCCAGCGCAAGTTGCCCTTGCAGTCTCCCTAGGACTGCGAATAAAAGCTGTTGTTTTGTGTCATTTGGAGTTGCCTTAAACGGCTCCTTACACGCGTAGGTCCGAAGAAAGGGGTACTTCAAAGGCCTTGGCTGTGGCTAACGGAACGTTTTATTCTATAAATTCATACATTAGTTTACAATTCAAATATTAATCCTTCTTCTTACCGCAGTGTGCCCTCCTACAATCAACAAAACAATGAATGGCACTTTTTGGCGGCATTCACACTACCGCTATTAGTAGGCCCGTAATTCCGATAACTTAAAATCCTACATTTCCTAATAATACTGACTTAACTATCGATAACAATGTTTTGACCGTCGACAGCTTAAATAAAAGACATTCATTATATAATAAATACATTTAATAAATTATTCACAATAAAATATAAATATATTTAACCGCTAATAACAAACCGGTTAGGGATGGAAAAGTTTGTTATCGAAAAACTTCTACTGCAGCCCTGGAAATTGTAATCGATATTCTCCCCATGGCACCTTCGATTTCTGAGCACACCTCCGATGGCAGATGAACTCACGAACGCGACGGTAAAAGATACAAGATACTCAATCTTGAAGATACAACAAACTTCCGTTCCGTGCGTGTTTCGTCGAGGAATATTGCATAAATTGATGGAATCGCAACATTGACGAGCAGACAATCCGTTGAGTGCAATCACAGTCTGCCGTTTAATTACACAAAAAAGTGAAAATCAGTGCGTGTGTGTGATTGTGTGTTAATATCTGTGTGTCTCTCGACGTCGTCGTCCCAACAAAAATTTCCAATTTCAAGAAAAGCAAACTACTGTGAGCAGCAGATTGGGAAATCAAACTAAAATATGCTTAAATTACACTTTGCATAAATTGAAACAAATCGCCAACTAGCTGAAAGCAACCGTAAGTAAATTTTAAAAATCATGAAAATCTTAAATCTATTTAAAACTTTTTATCAACGCATTGTACGCTGACAAGCTATGCGACCCTTTCTGAAGTGCGATAAGCGCACCACTTATGTATGTGTTTGTGTTAGGCTGCAGGGGATCGGTTTTAGACCATGCTGTTTGTCTCTTATTTAATGGGTCCGATCCCTTGAAAATCTATCCTAAGAATTTGTATGTTCTACATTTGTATGTTTGTATGTATGTTGGAAACTGCGTGGCGACCGTGAGTAAGAGTTGCAATTCCCGAAAAAAGTCAATTCAATCTTGCGGCGAGATTTAACATTCAAGGATTTTAGGGCGGTAAGGTTTATTAAATATTTTAAAAGATAACCAAATTTCGGACATATTATAGAAATGAATTATGGTTTTAAAATCGGGACAGCTTTGGAACAGAATTATAAATAATAGTAGATAAAATTGGCTAACTCACAGTCCTTTAATGCTCTTTTAAAGTATCTCTTGCCGAAAGAGCTTTCGCCAGTTTAGCTAGATATTATTATTATTATACCCTTGCAGAGGGTATTATAATTTTGGTCAAAAGTGTGCAACGCAGTGAGGGAGACATCTTCGACCCTATAAAGTATATATATTCTTGATCAGGATCACCTCCTGAGTTGATATGAGCATGTCCGTCTGTCTGTCTGTTTCTACGCGAACTAGTCTTTCAGATTTAAAGCTATCGTCTTGAAACTTTGCACACACCCTTCTTTCCTTTGCACGCAGTATATAAGTCGGAACGGCCCGGATCGGCCGACTATATCCTATAGCTGCCATATAACTGATTAATCGGAAATGGTATAACTTTGGTATTTTTAGAGTTAGAGAGTTCAAAATATTACGATATGCCAAATTTTATAGGAATCGGTCGACTATATTCTATAGCTGCCATATAACTGAACGATCGAAAATGACCCAACTTTCGTGTTTTTGAAGATAGAAAGCTGGAACTTGGTACAGATTCTATTTTTGGTCAGTTCATCCAACCTACCACATTTCATAAGGATCGGCCAACTATATCCGATGTTTGCGATATATATCCGGTTTGAACTGCAAGGGTATATAAACTTCGGCTCCGCCCGAAGTTAGCTTTACTTTCTTGTTATTCACTCATTATGGATTATTTCATTAATCAATTTCCGATTACTTTGTTGTTAACGATCACTGTCACTTGGTAGTGTCGTTTTATTTTTCCACTAAAAATGTTGAGTTGTTGACCGCGCGAGTTCCGTTTATGTTTAACTTATTTTTTATCAAACAATTTTTTGGAGCTTTATGTGACGGGGCCCACGTTGGGCGCCAGTTAAATTGTTTGTAGTTCGGTGAATTAAGAAAATGTTAATTTTATTTTTTAATTATACAACTTGGTGTTAAACCTTTATTTATTAAACGTAATTATTACAAGACACTTTTGATTTTTCTTAAATATTTTTTGTCAACCGTTCGCGGTCTCGGTCAAAAAGGGACTGCCTTCTTAATTATTAATCTGATCCAAAGAACCTCGGCCATCAGTTGTGTTTAGATAAGAGGCTTAAGATGAAAAGGTCGCATCTTATTGTGAAATTCGATTAAGCTGATCGATGCAATTTGGTGTGTACTTGAAACGCAAAAGGCGTAATTGATTGGGCTTCGGAGGGAAGCTGATGTTTAATTTTGATTTTGATTTGTTTATGGGAAACCGAGATCGGACCTCAGAGCCAAAGACAAAACCGAAAGCAAATGCAGAGTTTGAAAATATTGTTTATAAAAGCCATAAGTGGCCTGTATTTAGGGGTTGGATAACTTGCATGTTTAGGGACTGATAAAGGTCTGCATCTAACCGCTTTACTGATAGGGCCTTGCTGTGCCTCTCTCGAAATTTCTGTGTCGACCGTATCTTTTCTTGCCGGTGGATTTCCTTGTCACTAGCCTTCAGAACTTTACCTGAAAATGTTTTGTCATTCACAAAAACACTTTTTGATTTTTTCCCTACTTACCTGTACGTTTTCCCACGAGTTTCCCACTACTAGTGTTAGAGCTTCGCTTCGTACTCTTACTTCATACTCATTTGCGTCTATTCTCTTGAAACTTTTAATTGCAAATGAACATTTTGATTGATTTGATCGTCGAATGACAGTGACCAGGGTCGCTTTGCTTCATCTGACAGACGAGGTGCCAGATAGTAGCGCCTAACAGCATTTAATGGGCTTTTACAGTGCGACTGTTATCGACTTAATTTTTCTTTAATTTTGTTAAACCAATTTCTAAAAAAATTTTACGCGACGCCTGTTAATATAATTCATGATACCCTAAAAGTGTCATGCAGTGCATATGTCGAACTACAATGGCTAAGGAACAGAGGACTAAAGAATATATTTGTTAGAATATATTAAGTTATTTGTTAATTATTAAGCTAAGAGGAGTTAGTAAGGAAATTTAAAATTCTATATTTTAAGTTAGAGGGACAGAAAAGAGATGTAATAGAGTAGAGA